GAGTCCAAGATGTGAGCGAAGGCATTAGCGAACATTTATACGCGAAACTTGCAAACGGTAACACGGTGCGTGCGAGCTAGCTAGTGCTAGGCTGGCATCGAGGCTCGGGCTAGTCCCGAAGCGTAGGCCAACACGGCCGAGCCAGCGGTGCATGGTTTGGTGAAACAGTGCGCGCGAAGTCGGCGAAGCCCCGTTAGCAGTAACGGGCGAACAACGGCTACTGCTGTATGTGATGTTGCAAGTCGCAGTAAGGAATGTCGAGAAAATTCCTTACACTAATAGAACTTTCTTGCAGTGTAGAGAGAGAGCTGAATACACAAAAATGTTCAATAAGCAGATACACAACTGAAGGGTTACGGGTGCCTAGAAACACCAGAGCCAGCGCCTATAAGGTTAGAAGTTAGAAGGAACCCAAGGCAAGCCGCTTCCCCTCTCCCCCCCAACGCTTCAAGCAGGGGAGGAGGGGGGAAGGGGTGAAGGGGGCGTGCAATGACCGTATGAAGTGTGTGCTGCTAGCGAGCTGGTGGCGGGAAGAACATAGTAAACTGCATAGGGACCGAAATCGCGGGAGATTTGCGGGGTGGGAGAGGAAAGGTGGGGGAATGTCAAGGGACGGTTGTCAGGGAGTGGAAAGTGGAGAGTGAGGCAACACCTGCCCCTTCACCCCATATCTGTAGAAATGAATGGACAGACGAGAATCAGGCTATGTGTGTTGAGGTTCTTTGAGACATCTCAGAAAACACATCTATGGATAAAACCATGCATAGTTCTTCCTTCGTAACCATGCCCCGTTTTCACTCACATCCTCATCTTCGTCCTCCACCCTGCTGACAATAAGTCTTTTGCCAATGAAGCCCACCCACCCCCACACCTTGAAGTTCATTGCGACAAAGCCACACCTCCAATACCCGTCTCCCATGCATGCACTATGCGCACATGCTGCATCATACTCACATCCTCATCCTCGTCCTCCACGCCGCTGAGAATGAGCCTATCTGCTTTGAAGTTCATTGCTACGAAGCCCACCCACAACACTCCCCATTTCCCATGCATACATGCACACTGCACTGCACACCACACATGCTGCATCATACTCACATCGTCATCCTCGTCCTCCACCCATGCAAGAGTGAGCCTATCTGCGTTGAAGTTCATTGCTACGGAGCCCACCCACAACACTCCCCATTTCCCATGCATACATGCACACTGCACTGCACACCACACATGCTGCATCATACTCACATCGTCATCCTCGTCCTCCACCCCTGCAAGAGTGAGCCTATCTGCGTTGAAGTTCATTGCTATGAAACCCACCCAAGCAAAACCCACCCCCCATGCATGCATACATCCGTGCACACTGCACACACCATGCATACACATGTTACTCACGTCCTCATCCTCGTCCTCCACTCCTGCAAGAATGAGTCTATCGGCATTCAAGTTCATTGCCACGAAGCCCACCCACACTCATTGACTGATATCCATTGCCACAACCCGCACCTGGCACACCCGTATACTATACACCTACACACACCACGCAAGCACATGTTACTCACATCCTCATCCTCGTCCTCCACTCCTGCAAGAATGAGTCTATCGGCATTGAAGTTCATTGCTACAAAGCCCACCCACAGCACTCCCGAGCACAGCATGATGAGCCCCATGCCTGCAAATAGCCCCACCTGAGAGAGGGGGAGGGAGGGGATGGGGGATAAGCGGATGGGGGTGAATGAGGTGATTCAGCTGAGCTGCGCACAGCATGATGAGGCCCATGCCCGCCAACACCCCCACCTGCGAAGGGCGGGTGGGATGAGAAAGGGAGCAAATTGGATATAAGGTGTGCCACACCGTTACAGACTAAACACTTTAGTGAACACTATATAGAAGGAAACTTAAATAGGAAACAACCACTCGGGAGGGAATACTACTGGGAGTGGACTCACCGGGACTGCCCCACTGCCTGTTGACTGCTGCCAGACTAGATACGAGCTGTAGCACACCGGTACAAGCGTGAAGCACCTGCGATGGGGGTGCGGTGGAGAGAGGTGGGGTGGAGTGATGTGAGGTGGGGTGGGGTGGTACGGGTTGATCCGAGGCCCAAAGGGTTACCCTCAATCATAGGTGATCGCACATGACAGCACATCATGCAGTGCAGCTTACCAGGTCAGTGAATACCAGAGGCAGAACCCCCACCTGTGGTACTTCACGGTGTGGTGTGGTGTGGTGCGGCGCGGTGTGGTGTGTGAGGCCAAAAGGGTTATCCCTCCTCTTAGGTGATGGCACATGACAGCATGCCATGTGGCTTGCAGTACGTCGTGTGGTGTGGTCGTGTGTGGTGTAATGCGGTTTGGTGTGGGTCCAACAATATGAGGCTCACCATGCATGGCAGTACCAAACGAATACACCTCATCGGTGGTGCTTCACAAACGCCTTGTGGTGTCGTGTGGTGCAGTGTGGTGTGGCGTGGTGTGGGCCCTAGACTGTGCAGCTTACCATGCCAGGTGGTACCAAACGGAATACGCCCCACCAGTGGTGCTTCGCAAACGCTTTGCTCATTGATAGGTACGCCTCGTGGTGTGGTGTGGTGTGGTGTGGTGTGGTGTGGTGTGGCGTGTGTGAGTCCCAACACCGTGCAGCTTACCATGTTAGGCAGTACCAGACGGAGAACCCCCACCGGTGGTGCTTTTGAGTCGACTCAAAATCACAAACGCTTTGCCCATTGACTGATACGCCGTGTGGGGCACACGAAGGGCCACCTGGGCGCCGCCTTGGTGAACGGAACAGAAGTGGGACACTTACCACGCCAGAGACACACACTTACCACGCCAGAGACACACACTTACCACGCCAGAAAGACACACACTTACCACGCCAGAGACACACACTTACCACGCCAGAGACACACACTTACCACGCCAGAAAGACACACACTTACCACGCCAGAGAGACACACACTTACCACGCCAGAGAGACACACACTTACCACGCCAGAGAGACACACACTTACCACGCCAGAGAGACACACACTTACCACGCCAGAGAGACACACACTTACCACGCCAGAGAGACACACACTTACCACGCCAGAGAGACACACACTTACCACGCCAGACACACACTTACCATGCCAAGCAGTACCAGACGGAGACCCCCCATCGGTGGTGCTTCACAAACGCCTTGCTCATCGAGAGATACGCCGTGTGGGGCCCGCGAACGGCCACCTGGGCGAAGCACGCTGCCAGGAAGCAGCAGACGATGGCGGCAATCCCAAGGCCCACTGTTGGCCCCGGGGGAACGCCGCATGTGGCAGGCATGGAGGTGCAGTCCTCTGGTATTTGGGGCTGGAAGGGGAGAGGTGAGACAATTGGGGGGGGAAACTACTTTGGGGTGCCTCTGAAGCAGATGGCGGCAATCCCAAGGCCCACTGTCGGACCCAAGGAAACGCCGCAGGCAGCACGCGTGAAGGTGCAGTCCTCTGGAATTTCGGGCTGAAAGTGGGAGAGGGGAGACTCGGATTACACCTGGGTAACGGTGGGCATCGGCAGTGCGGATCAGTGGGTACTAGTAGCGGTAGCATCCGTTATAAGAACACTCACCTTGGTGTGCTCGGCCACCATCATAAGAACGTAAGCTGCGAATGCTGTACCCGACACCACCACCGACCCGATAATTGTTTCAAGCTGACCCATGGCGAACAACTCTTGTTACACTGTAACGCTGTTACATGTAGTGCAGATAAGATGCCGCTGGACGGAAATATTTCACCTAAACTCGCAGGAAATTCTTTTCCACTCGCTCCTTGCTGTCCTATTTTAAGGGAATTGATGCCTTGCCTGATAATGGACCTATATCGACGCCATTGCGTAGTTGACTAATCTACTGCAATGTAATTTACCGACGATTTTGATTGAACCTAACAGCTGTAACGGCATCACCGGCGGAAGGACCAGAAACTCGGCATTATCTACTGCCAATAATTAAGTCCCGTATGTCGGAATATAAGAACGAAGCGAATCGCGGTGCTATGTTCTACAGTTAAACAAAAAGCTCTCAGCCTACGGTAGGTGCGCTCCGTTGGTGGGAATGCCACACGCTATGATCGTGCGCTATGGGGATTCACATCTATTCAGCCAAGCAAGCGAAAAAGCTGCTGGCAGTGGTGTAGCAAGCACGCCTCAAGATGCTACATCCACGACGGGCGTGGAGTCACGTCGTTGCTACAATTCTTTCTTCTCTCTCCAGTCATCGACCCCTTTCACCAAAGTCAGTCGCGAGGTCTAAAAGGAACTCCCATGTTCACGACGTTCGATCCTGACTTTGCTCTGAGATGTGAAGTTGTTTCGAAACGAGGAGGTCCATAAATTAGAGGCGAGATGGTCTGAGTGAAGTTTAGAGCGAGTGCGATGAAGGCAAGTGCGAGTCTAGGGGGTATCGTATGTGGGAGGGAGGCGAGGAGTGAAGGGATTGACAAGACGAGGGCACTGTGCCTTGAGCTCCCTGCAAGACCCACGAGGGTGTGGCAGCGCGTACGTGCAAGTTTCAATATCCGTGGCTCGGAACGGTTTCACACGGTAGAAAGTGGCAATCTGGCTTCACCGCTCCTCACCGCGACGCAACGAAAATGACCGCACAATGTGGTCCACACCCCTTTGCAAAAACTGTTCCCTAGGGAGCACATTTTGGCGGGAAGGGAAAATTGAGGCGTGAACGGGAATATATGTTCAGTGTACACTATCCAGCATCATATTGACAAAAATTGAAATCGCTACTCGTTACTGAAATTGGAGCGATGATCTGATAGAATGTCCCCTCCTCAACCACGCTGCTTTGGCTCTAGTACCACTTGGTGTTTCAATCCCTCGCATTCATTAGTGCCTCTTAGATTCCCCGAATTCATTCTCTTAGTTCCTCCTACATCAGGATTCGTTGATACTGCAGCACTCGCCGCCCACTGGTTAGCAACACGAGTCCCTCCAAAACCACCACGTGGCAGAGCCTGAATGGCTGCTGCCGCGGAGGCTGGCGTCGCCGGTAGCAGCAAACCTGGAAGTAGCAGCGTTGCGGAACCCCCGAATCTCGCCGGAAAAACCGGGCGGTCGGAGCGCGATCGCGATCGCGTGTACGACATTCCCTGGGTGGAGAAGTACCGGCCACAGCGAGTGGAGGACATAGTGGGCAATGAAGACGCGGTTTCGAGACTCTGCGTCATCGCACGCGATGGCAACATGCCGAATCTAATCTTCGCAGTATGTAAGGAAACTATGTAAAAGCACTATGTAAGGATACTAAGCAGGGCAAGACCACTAGTGCACGTGAAAGTCATAGTTTCCTTCCACTAATGGGCATACTATGCTGCCTTGGAATTAAACGTGTCGTCTGACGACCGAGGCATCGACGAGGCTCCGATTTTCGTCTCCCTTGCCCCAATCCCGCAGGGCCCTCCTGGGACAGGAAAAACACCAGTGTGCTCGCACTCTCGCACGCACCGCTGGGTCCCAGCTACTACCAAGTCTCTGACTTTGAACTGAATGCGTCTGATGACCGAGGGATCGATGTGGTTCTGCTGTTTCGTCTCCCCTCCCCCAATTCCACAGGGCCCTCCTGGGACAGGGAAAACCACTAGCGTCCTGGCCTTAGCACATGCACTGCTGGGTCCCAGCTACCGCGATGCAGTGTTGGAGCTGAACGCGTCTGACGATCGGGGCATCGATGTGGTTCGCAACAAGATCAAGATGTTCGCCCAGAAGAAAGTCACCCTGCCGCCCGGGCGGCACAAGATCATCCTATTGGACGAGGCGGACAGGTGGGGCGCAAATCGAGGTAGTTGCATTCAGGGATGGCCAAAGTGTGCATCTTGTTTTTAAGCGCCTGCTGTTCATTCGCTCAGATGAAAGTCACTCTGCCGCCCGGGCGGCACAAGATTATCCTTCTGGACGAGGCGGACAGGTAGGACTTATACCGAAGTCGGAGTACAGCTTCTTTTGAGACGCCTTTTGAGACTTCTTTTGAGACGTCTCAAAAGTTATACCGAAGTCGGAGTACAGCTTCTAGGGATTACCAACATCTTACCGTCCTATCTGATAGCCTGCTGTATTCTCGCTTAGAATAAGGTCACTCCGCCGCCCAGGCGGGCGGCACAAGATCATCCTATTGGACGAGGCTGACAGGTGGGGTGCTATTTGACAGGCCTGTCAGCCTCGTCCAATTTGACAGGCCTGTCAGCCTGTCAAATAGCACCTAGAGATAGCCAAGATGTGTAAGTCTCGAATTTTGGAGAGTAATAGCTTTGTTTTGTTCTTTCTTGCTTTTAGTAAGTCGATTTTTGAGTCGACTCAAAAATAGTCAAGATGTGTAAGTCTCAAATTCTGGAGAGTAATAGCCTTGTTCTGTTTTTCCTTAATTTTTTGCAGTCTGATTCGTCCCTCCCTCCCCTCCCCTCCCCTCCCACCACCCCATGCTAGCATGACAGCAGCAGCGCAACAAGATTTTTGGAGAACCATGGAGATTTACTCTTCCACATTCAGATTTGCCCTCGCATGCAACAATTCTACTCCTCTCCCCCCCCCTCCCCTTTCCTGCCCCCACCCACTCCCTCCCCCTTCAACACGCCAGCATGACAGCAGGGGCGCAGCAGGCGTTGAGAAGAACAATGGAAATCTACTCCTCTACCACCAGATTCGCCCTGGCATGCAACGTGTCTTCCAAGATCATCGAACCCATTCAGAGCCGCTGCGCCGTCGTGCGATTCTCCCGGTTGACTGATGCTCAAGTGCTGGCGAGGCTCATGCTGGTGGTTCAAGAGGAAAAGGTGAGAACCGCTGTACATAGGTGAGGCACAGAAATTTTCCCTGCTGTGCCTCCGCGTGCAACGTGTCATCCAAGGTCATCGAACCAATTCAGAGCCGCTGCGCTGTCGTGCGATTCTCCCGCCTCACAGACGCCCAACTGCTGGCGAGACTAATGCTGGCTGTTCAAGAGGAGAAGGTGAGAAAAGGGTGAGGCCTGAAAGCCTCTGTCTGGCTTGTGCAAATCACTTTTTAGAACCTTCAGAGGTAATTCTTCTCTCTCACTCTCCCACAAGATCATCAAAACGTTGATTCTCAAAATTGATTCCCCCTCCAAGATCCTACTGATGGCCCAAGTGCTTTCTCATTTGTTGACGTCCCCTTGTGAATGAATGCACCAGGTGGCGTACGTTTCAGAGGGGTTGGAGGCGATTGTGTTCACAGCAGATGGGGACATGAGGCAGGGGCTACATACGTGTGGTGGCTTATCATTCACATTCACATGCATATGCATCTGTATCCATCCCCTTGTGACTGTATCAGGTGGCGTACGTTCCAGAGGGGTTGGAAGCGATTGTGTTCACAGCAGATGGGGACATGAGGCAGGGACTGAACAACCTGCAGGCCACTGCCACTGGCTTCGGTCTGGTGAACGCTGATAATGTCTTCAGGGTATGTATGCCTCTAGTTTTCACTTTGGTTGTTGGGGTAGCTGTATGGAACGGGAGTGGGAGAATGAGAGGCAGGCACAGCGGATGGCGACATGAGGCAGGGACTGAACAACCTGCAGGCCACTGCTTCTGGCTTTGGGCTGGTGAATGCCGATAACGTGTTCCGGGTAGGTGTGTCTCTACTTTGGCTGTTGGGGTAGCTGTATGGAAGGGGAGGGAGAGCATGGGAGGCACAGCGGATGGCGACATGAGGCAGGGACTGAGCAACCTGCAGGCCACTGCCACTGGCTTTGGGCTGGTGAACGCCGATAACGTGTTCCGGGTGAGTGTGGCACCGCTGCTTGCGCTGGTAGGTGAAGGTAGATGCAGATACAGCATGGGATTCACAACAGGGACTCAACAACCTTCAGGCCACTGCTACTGGTTTCGGGCTAGTAAACGCCGACAGTGTGTTTCGGGTGAGTGATAGCATTCACACAGGCAGGTGGCATAGCTGTAGGGAATGGGAGAGTGAGGGGCAGGGACTGAACAACCTGCAGGCCACTGCTACTGGCTTCGGGCTGGTGAACGCCGATAACGTGTTCCGGGTATGTGTGCTATATTGGTACCACTCACACAGGCAGGTGGTGTAGCTGTGTGCAACGGGAGTGTGTGAGTGAGAGGGGCAAGGCTCGATCCACAACCTGCAGGCCAGTGCCACTGGCTTCGGGCTTGTGAATGCCCAAAACGTTTTTCAGAGTATAGTGGTTGGTTTCAACTCTCCACATGGACCCATGGTTTAGGTGACTGCAGGCGTTGGTGGTTGTGGTAGACTTTTGAGTCGACTCAAAAAGTCGCAGGCCATTGCCTCTGGCTTCGGGCTTGTGAATGCCTAAAACGTTTTTTTAAGGGTATATCGGTTGGTTTCCACCCTCCACATGGGCCCGTGGTTTAGGTGACTGCAGGCGTTGGTGGTAGTGGTAGTGGTAGTGGTAGTGGTAGTGGTAGTGGTAGTGGTAGCAGATCTTGGGACATCTTCCAGTGAGCAGCGGTTAGGTTTCCACCCTCCACATGGGCCCGTGGTAGTGCTCTAATTGTTGAATGTGGCCCGTCTGCTCCTCCCCTGTCTCGCCTCTCACAGGCTGACTTTTGAGTCGACTAAAAAATGGTTTAGGTGACTGCAGGCGTTGGTGGTAGTGGTAGTGGTAGTGGTAGTGGTAGTGGTAGTGGTAGTGGTAGTGGTAGTGGTAGTGCTCTAATTGTTGAATGTGGCCCGTCTGCTCCTCCCCTGTCTCGCCTCTCCCAGGTGTGCGACCAGCCGCACCCACTGAAGGTGGCAGCGACAGTGAAGGCGTGTCTGTCGGGTGACATTGACACAGCATGCGAGGGCATCCGGGACCTCTTTGCTCTGGGCCTTTCTTAAGCCAGTGTAAATCCCGCTTTCCCCTATGCACATATTATTCCCTTCCCCACCAGGTGTGCGACCAGCCGCACCCACTGAAGGTGGCAGCAACAGTCAAAGCCAGTCTATCGGGTAACATTGACACTGCATGCGAGGGCATTCGGGACCTCTTTGCTCTGGGCTACGCTGCGTCTGACATCATCACGACTCTCTTCAGAATAGTCAAGAACTACGACATGCCCGAGTTCTTAAAACTTGAGTTCATCAGGGTGAGTGTTGTCACATGGTGGGGGAAGGGGTGGGTTTAAGGGTTGTGTATACAGAGGTCACCTCTCTGGGCTACGCTGCGTCTGACATCATCACAACGCTCTTCAGAATAGTCAAGAACTACGACATGCCAGAGTTTCTAAAGCTGGAGTTTATACGAGTGAGTCGCCTTGCTTTTGCCAGTGAAAGGTGTGCAGATGGGTGCACAGGGGTTCAGATGGGTGCACAGGGCGTCAGAGGGAGCTGAATATCTTTGCTCTGACCTACGCCGCTTCTGACATCATCACAACATGCCTGAGTTTCTGAAGCTGGAGTTCATCAGGGTGGTGACTTACGCCGTGGGGGAAGGTAGACAGCAGGGCCGTGCACAAGGGGACACAAGGGGACACACACACAAGGTTGACTTGCTCTGGGCTATGCTGCGTCTGACATCATCACGACGCTCTTCAGAATTGCTGAAGCTGGAATTCATCAGAGTAAGTCTAAAAGTATAGCGGATCCTTTTGGGTCAGCTTAAGGGCTACCAGGGTGAGTAGGGGCTTTCATTTGCCGGTCTCTGGGCCATTCTTGAGGCGCCTCAAAAAGTGGAGGCTTTCCTTTGCCGGTCTCTGGGCTATGGTGCTTCTGACATCAAGTCAAAAGCAGCTGATGCTCGTCAGAATAGTCAAAAAGTACAACATGCCCGAAGTGTTCAGTTGACTCCTCTCATCTTACTTCAATGCATACCCGCACCTACCCCCCCTCTTCCTTGTTGCAGGGGATTGGGTCCGGTCACATGCGGAAAGCAGACGGATTGAGTGCAGTCGAGAAATAATTAACTTTTCTATCTGCCCCTTGTAACCGTGTAACCGTGTTGCAGGAGGTTGGGTTCTGTCACATGCGGATAGCAGACGGAGTGGGGTCAGTGCTGCAACTATCAGGCTTAATGGCCAAGCTGTGCAAAATAGCCAGAAACGCTGCTCCCAAGTAGAGCTTTTCGTTGACTAATAATCTGCCCACACAGTTATACCGTGTGAATTATCGTTCAATGTAACTAATCAATGTGCAAAGTAAACTTGGGCTGTCCGACGGCCTGATTTCCTTGAATCTTTCAGGCTACTTTAATTCCCCCTAACGCTTAGTCTCCCCACAAGTGCCCAGCATAGTTTCCTGAGGTTCCTAGCTAGGTTTTTTGTGGTACGGTCAGGTTTGCGCTTTACACTCCATAACAGATCGGGTGTATATGAATAACCACTCGTTATTATTAGTCCCAGGCGAGTGCAGTCGGGACTCAACAATTGCAGCATGGTTCAGACTCGCATCCATTGCGCCGTCGCATGCGGGAGATGCAAGGAGCACAGTCCCACCGAATTGTGAAATTTTTGTCGCGAGCCACTGAACGAGTCTCCCTTGATTTCGTCAGTTCAGGAACCAGTCGCCACTCGCGAAAGGCTTTCCCTTCTCACCGCAATTATCCACAGCAAATTTGATTGAGGTGAGTGAAGGAAAATCACCACAATCATCAGTTTGGAAACTCGTGCGCCTCGGGCGAGATTCGAGAAGCTGGAGTTACTTATGAGTCACAGCAAAGCCAATCCCCGTGACTCGCGGAAGTTACTCATCGAAGCAACACAAGCGTTGGTTAAATAGAAGCTATCAATGCGGATTCATTTCATCACAAGTTCCAGTCGTTTTCACTCTCTCCTCTAAAAATCGTCACATAGCACCAGCTTTATCAGTTCAGCGTTGTCCACTACAAACAGAAGTGAAAATGACTCCGGCTAAAACCACATTCTTAGTCGTCGTCATCGCCTCTGCGATGCTCCTTTCCGCCCCGCGCATCTCTGCAGCTGCGGCTCCGGCCAACGCGACCGCTTCTGCTAAGGCGGCTGCCGCGCCTGCTAACGCGACTAAATCTGGAAATGCTACAAAAGTCGCTAACAGCGCGCATGGAGTGGCTACGGCGAGGCTGAGCAAGGGCGCGGGCGAAGGAAAGAACTCCACATGCGCCTACTACGGAAACTACAACGCCAACCCTTACTTCGGCAAGGGACTCACCGCGAAGATTCCTGACGCGCTCTTCAGCAAGCGATGCGGCGCGTGCTTCAAGGTGATCTGCAGCAACGACACGAAGCGCTGCCGCAGCGGCAAGGCCACCGTCACCGTCCGCGTCGTCGGCGCCACCAAGACGGAGGGGAAGCAGATTTCGCTCTCCGCCGTCTCATGGGCGAAAATCGTGCAGGGTTCGGAAACTGCCCCTGTGAACATCACGTACAAGCGCACCAACTGCGTTTCCACCGCCGGATCGGCGGTGCGCGTGCGCAGCAACTCCACCGCGGAGCATTTTAACATTCAGATGGTCGGCCTTGCCGGGCCCGGCACGCTTACCGAGGTAGAGCTTAGCGCGGACGGCAAAAAGTGGGTGAAGCTGACCCGCGACGGAAACAAGGCGATTTGGGGGATCAAGGGCAAGGAGGCGAAGGCGGTTGTGGGCGCGAAGAAGGCTATGAGCGTTCGCCTCACTGCGGGACACACCAGGGAGAAGATCACCCTCGCGAATGTCATTCCCACCGCCTGGAAGCCTCAAACGCTCTACTCGTCCAAGACCAACTTCAAGAAACTCATGGCTGAGGCCAAGTAGGCAAGTGGTAGGCGTGGGTTTCGAGGCGTGGGTTTCTAGGCGTGGGTTATGGAGGCGTGGGTTTTGGAGGCGCCTTAGAAGAAACCCGCGACGGTGTATTCGTCCAAGACCAACTTCAAAGAAGCTCATGGCTGAGGCTAGGAAAACGTTAACTGTGCGCTCAAGGCGGTTGAAGAAAAATCTAGGTGCCACCTCAATCCTCTGCGCTCGTCCAAGGCTAACTTCAAGAAGCTTATTGTAAGACCAAGTAGGCCTGGTGCGAAGAATATTTGCGGACTCGTCCAAGTCAGGGCGAAGTGGGTTAGGGGGAAGGGGAGGGGATAGGTTAGTGGGGGAGTGGGATTGAGGGTGGGGAGTGCGATGATGCAAAAGGGCTTTTGTATGCACATGATTTTTGAGTCAACAATTTGATTTGCTTGAGTTCCAGACTCGTCCAAACTTCTCTGCTGTGCAGAGTACAACGGAATACAACAGGGTTTAGGTCCCCTGCTGCTTCCACCACTGAAACCAGCAGCAGTGTTTTTCAGTGAAACCAGCGCCACCTGCACCACCCTTTCTCCCCACCACCGACCTCCCTTGCAGGCTACCAAAAACCACTACCGTACCTTATTCTCAACACTGGTTACCACTGGTTACCAGTATTTCCGGCGATTCCACCACCAGGACCACCACCGTCACTAGCCTCACCAGTAACTCCAATAATTCCATCAACTACAGAACCAGAACTGTCAGTGTTACGCCTGCTGCGGCTCCCACTATCCCTACTCCCATCCCAAACTGCTATTGCTGCTGCTGCCGGCGCCGGCGCCGCCACCGCCACTGTTGCTGCGGCTGCTGCTGCAGGCACCATCAAAACCAGAATCACCTGCCGCGGCATTGTGTGACACAGCATCACCTGGCTCCTCCTAGCTCTCTCATTTCAGCACTGTTGCTGAAATGTTCTCACCCCTGCCGCTGCTGCCGCCGCCGCCGCCGCCGCTGCTCCTCCTGCCACCATCGAAACCAGAATGACCTGCCATGGCATTAAGTGACACAGCATCACCTGGCTCCTCCTAGCTCTCTCATTTCAGCACTGTTGCTGAAATGTTCTCACCCCTGCCGCTGCTGCCGCCGCCGCCGCCGCCGCCGCCGCCGCTGCTGCTGCTCCTGCCACCATCGAAACCAGAATCACCTGCCATGGCATTGAGTGACACAGCATCACCTGGCTCCTCCTAGCTCTCTCATTTCAGCACTGTTGCTGAAATGTTCTCACCCCTGCCGCTGCTGCCGCCGCCGCCGCCGCCGCCGCTGCTGCTGTTGCTCCTGCCACCATCGAAACCAGAATGACCTGCCATGGCATTGTGTGACACAGCAGTAGCCTGGCTCCTCCTATCCCACTCTTTTCAACACTGTCGTTGAAAATGTTCACACCACTGCTGCTGCTGCTGCTGCTTTGACCACCTACGGCCACGGCCCACCATAAACACCTTCCCCAGCAGCATTACCTGCACGAGTACCAGCCTCCCCCTCGACCTCACTGAAGTTCTCTCTTTGTTTTACAGAGGATTGCATTGAAGGAACAGCCTCCCTCTGATGCTTCGCCCCTGGATGCTCCTCCCTCGGATGCTCCTCCCCCGAATGCTCCTCCCTCGGATGCTCCTCCCCCGAATGCTCCTCCCTCGGATGCCCCTCCCCCGAATGCTCCTCCCTCGAATGCTCCTCCCCCGAATGCTCCTCCCTCGGATGCTCCTCCCCCAGGTGCTCCTCCCCGGGTGCTCCTCCCTTAGATACTCTTACTATCACTGCCCATGTTATCTACTTCTGTCACCACCACTGCTGCTGTTGCTAATGTTGCTTCCACCTGCGGAGAATAGGCGATTCTGGGAGAGCCTAGGCGCAGAGTTGCAAAGCGGATGGTTGTAAACCGAATACTGATTTGTGGAAACCGAATACTGATGCCAATCTTGGTATGCAATAATTGAAGGAACGGAATTGATTAAATAATGAAATTGATATATTACAACAGAAACAACATGAACCTTATAGAGAAGCATAGTGACGTGTGCAAGAACGTTCTACGAGAACGTTGTTCACGAAGAACGTTGTTCAAGGAGAACGTGCAAGCACCTACTCTAGAATGCGGTTCCAGGTTGGCACCGCCAGGTGAAAATACCATCAGGTGAAAATACCGTCAACAATATTTCTACCTGCCCAGGAGTAGTTGCGCAGGTTCTTGCAACACTGACAGCTGCACATACGCGTTTGTGCAATGTCGTCACTTCCCTGGTCCAATGTTGAAATGTGCATACCGAAGCGCACATATTGGAGTGTACTTGGCGAATACCGCAATACTGGTAAAACCGGTACGCGGTATGCAAAGTCTCGCTGCTCCGCATAGGGCCGCTACACGCAAAACCAGGCACGTGCAAGGCTTCGCCTTAACACTCCCCTGCCCTGCTCGTGCCTGGGCAACTGAGGAGTTAGCACACCACACAAAGCGAAAGGAAATAATAGAGTACAACAGGGTGACGATCCTGATACTCGTCCGCGTGTTTTCCGCACACGCATACTCATCGCACCAGCCATGTTGAAGGACATGGCACCTATTCCTGCTCGTTGTCACGCTCGTCGTCTGCAAGATCAACTTGCCCAATGGCGACAGAGCAGCGCTTGAATGCCGGGGAACGTAGTGCCTTCGTGAGATAGTCCGCGGGTTGCTCGCTCGTCGGGATGTACGTAAGCGCGATTTTCTTGCGCTTCACCATCTGCTGCAGCCATATGTACCGCCTCTCCATGTGCTTGAGACTCCCCTTGAGCCCCAACCCTTCCGCAACCGCAATTGCATGTGAGTTGTCCACGTGGATGACAGTCGGCACCCCAGCATCTAGAAAGTGCAAACGGTGCGCCTCCTTCCCGGCCTCCATTGTAGCAATGTATTCGGATTCCGTTGAGGACAACGTCATGCACTTAATCCTCTGACTTGCCCACGAAAGTGCAGCTCCGCCAAGAACAAAAACGTATCCGCTGGTACTGCTGCGCGTCTGCCGGTCACACGCATCATCGGAATCCGCATACCCCACCAGGTGCAGAGTATCCAGACCACCACCGAACTCGAGGGCGAAATCGCGGGTGTCCACCACGTAGTCAATGCAGCGGTCCAGCTCCCTCCAGTGCTGGTCAGTGCGAATCGTCAACCCCGAGCCCAACTTGCTGCATGCGTATGCGATGTCGGGACGGGTCGTATTTGTGGCAAACTGGAGCGAACCCACTTTCTGATGATACTCTTCCTCTTCACGCGCTTGGTATTCTTCGTCGTCAAATGTCAACTCGGTGTACGCGTCGACCGAGATAGGCGTTTTTGGGCAGCGACCTGTCTGCTCTTCGTCCACAAGCGGCGACGCAGCTTGTCCACGTATGCGCTTTGGTGCAGCCACAGCTTGCGCGCAGACCTGTCCCTTACTATCTCCAGACCCAAATACTTCTGCACGGGATTGATTTCCCGTAGCTCGAATGCGTTTTGCAGAAGCTCACGGAGGTCCTTCAGCATCTCGAGGCTGCTACTTGCGGCGAGCAAATCGTCAACGTACACCAGCAGCCAGCAACTGACGCCATCAGCACCAAACTTGAAGTAGAGCGCTTCGTCAACCTGACTCTTGCTCCACCCGCCGCCAATGAGTATGCTGTCGAGCGCCGAATACCACAGCAGTGGACTCTGTGTGAGTCCGTACAAGCTCTTCAGAAGCTTGCACATGCGAGATGTACCGTCGTTGAAGTACGCCGCCTGCTCCATGTACAGAACCCGGTCCAATTTGCTCTGCAGGTATGCGTTTTTCATGTCCAACTGCATGACGTGCAGATCGAGTACCGCGACGATGGAGAGGAAAATGCGCAGTGTAATGTAGCTGCCAACCGGGGAATACGTCTCATCATCCGCGCCATAAATCTGCGTAAATCCCTTCACGACGAGCCGTGCCTTCTCGCGAGCGACCGTGTCGTCGGCGTTGTACTTTGTCGTAAGAACCCACCGGTTCTTCATGACATTGACGCCGCGCGGTCGAGGCACCAACTCCCATGTTCCGTTGGCAAGGAGGCTACGCATCTCCTCATCCATTGCCGCTTTCACCGCCTTCCCCTTCTAGCTTGCAACCGCTTCCTTGACGGTCATCGTTCCAATCGTTCAGGATCAGCGTGCACATTGGGATCCAGTTCTGGCAGCGTGGTATCCGCATTTGCGTCATCGAGAAGCGTGTTAGCGAATACCGGGCACACGTCGGCCCATTTCTTTGGAGGCACACCAAAGTTGGAGCGGGTGGAATGCCGTGTTGGCGGCTTGATTTCCACCACATCGCTCGAAGAACTTGTCAGAATCCCAACCACTAGACCATTGGGATAAAAGGGCTTATCAAGTAGCGGATCAGTGTGCCCATAACCCTCCATGCCAACGTGCCTGTAACCCTTCACTAGGATCAATCGGGAATCTCCAGTGGACCCCTGACACCCCCCCGCACTGGGATGCCTGAAGTGCACACACTGAGATTCGAAACCGAGATCTTCGCTCTGATACCATGTCAGAATCCCAACCACTAGACCATTGGGATAAAAGGGCTTGTTACGTAGCGGATGAGTGTGCCCATAACCCTCCAGGCCAATGTGCGTGTAACCCTTCACTAGGATCAATCGGGGATCTCCAGTGGACCCCTGACAGAACTGTCTCCAAACGACTCCCCTGCAGCTTCGCCGATGACCTCCACAACGTCGCTCGACGTGCTGCCGCTGATCTGCTCCCCTGTCAACTGCTCCCCTGCCGGTTTCTGCATACTAGGCGCCGGTTTCTGCAGGCGCCGATTTCTGCATACCGGGTGCGCCATCCTTACAAGATGCGGCAGGTCAACCGTCGACGATGCCGATGCGTTGCGCCGAAGGTAGCGCGTCATGTCTCCCCTCATCGTTGTCGGCCGACTTGGACGGGGTGGCGGCGGTGGGAGGTAGGCTTTCTGCAGCTGGCAGCGGAGAGGAGAGGA